TAGTAAAACTAACTTCGAAATCTGGCTTCCATTTCTTTTTCTTCAGCTCGAGTTTTGTCAATATCTTCTGCAATAAGACCGAAGTCAGCTATTTTGCATATCCATCTACTGTCGATTAGACATAAACTTGACTTCAACATACCATGAGATTTGATTTCAGAATTGTGTAGATAGTACATACCCTGTCAAAGAAAAAGTCATACAAGGTGTACATGACTAATTCATATAGTTGTGCAGAAAATGCATGTACTTGTACGGTGGATTGAGGGTTGATTGCAGAATGAAACTGATCTCAATTTGGCCATCGTTTGCCCTATTGAGGGATACAGAATTACATGAGCTGAGTTAAAGTGATTTTTATTTTTAATAACGATTTCCTGTACGTGTCATAAGTATTAAATTGCAACGACCATCGCTGAAATGTGGAAACTGAAAACATAGCATATACGCTATATGCATATACCAACGTTTTACATTAAATCAATTGCAAGTTAAAAATAATGGCATCTGCGTCCATTTATTGAAATCAAGATTCATCAAACGAATATCAAGAAATTATGGTACAAGATGACAACTTGCTCTGGGCCCTGGATGAAATCATGTCAATACATTGCCATCTTGAGAAGCTAACTATCACTGATAATATTACATGTATGTGTCATTTCCACTGTGTACGTCATGTATGACCATTTTCAAGGATGGCGACTATTCAACCATTAGTTATCACATCACAATTTATGTGATATACCCTTGTGTCTAAAACACTATTTCAGTGAGATTTAGTCATCTCTTTGCGGTAATATTTAAATAGAAAAATTATTAAAAAAAACTTGATTAAAAAAAAAAATTGTTGTAGAAAGTTGTAACAAATATTACTTTTTACAAAGGACTATTTTTTCAAAAATTTTACAGATTTACAGAGAGAGTCAAGTAATAAAGAAAATCTGGAGATGACTACCTCAGGAACCTACAGTAAACAATAAAACTAGTTTATAATTTGGAAGTCAAAAATTTCATTTAAATAAAAGCCCAATACTGTGCAGTATCATTCTATGTATGTATGTATGTATGTCAACAGAATATCTTTCTAAATTAATTTTCAGAAAATATAACATTTAAATGTGAAAAGGTTTCACACCCACTGGTTTGGTCAGTACAGTTTGCCCTAAGCTCAGAGGGTGCTCTTATCATAGCTTTCATCGGCCTCTGAAATTGACTACCTCAGTTGTCATTTGTATGAAATATTTAGTATTTCTAAATGTTTAGCAATTTATGTGTTTGATAGGAGTGTTTATTTAAACAGTGATAAAATGGAATACTGTTTTAACTATTGGTGGGAATGCTCACATAAGCTAATAACTTTATTTTTAGATTTTTAATATCTCATCTTTATAATAAATTAGATCTAAATATATCTCCACCTAAATGCTTGTAACATGAGAATATAAAATATGTCAAAAACAATTAATCATGTTAGTGACAGGAATTTATTGGTTTGTCTAACATTAATGCCTACTTAATGGGGAATAAAAGTAAACAGTTAAGATTTAAGAGCATGAGTGTGACAAAGTCTACAATATCTTAGTGTTGACCACTTATAGTTGTTCACAAATAAATAATGTTTTTCTTGTTTGTGAATATTGCTTATATCTACCTGTTGTGAACATTTGTTATTTTTACAGTCAATTTAATCTGAGCACTCTATGATAAAGTTTAATAGGCTAATAAAAAAAAGCAGCTCAAATACTGTGTTTGTGCTATTAGTAGTACATGTGATTACGTAAATCTCTCAATACTGGGTTTGGGTTTGTAATCGTCTTTATTAAAGATACGCTTCTAATAGGGTAAATATGGTATTAGCATCATATATAACTTTATTGCATGTTTACATTTGTTTTTTGTGTCTAATCAGGTCAGCATAACATCACAAGCAAAAGAGAAAAAACAGGTGTGAACGCATTACCCACTTAACACTTAATTGCAGTGTAAAAACAGATGTGAACATGAAACAGGGAATCTTAAACACCATTACTAGGCAAAATAGAAATGTGGTATTAAATACAAAGTAGAATGACAGGAATGTAATATAACCATCCAAAACACTAACTCATAAAAATTGACTGTAAACTATACGGCAAATATCTGATACATTTTTATTAGAAATCTTAAGAATCTTTCTGCTAGATAAATCTCATCAACATAGTTATCATAGCTGCCATAATTGATTCAGATACAGACATTTCCAATATGATTTGACTAGGAAAAATGCCAAAAAGTATCAACAAAAATAATTTATTTTAGGCCATCACTTATGATGTAAATTACACTATTTAAATATGTTTATCTAGGATAAAAACCGTGTTTATTTAGGATGAAAACCGTGTTTTGGTCTTGCACATGAGAACAAAATATTTGTATAATAGAAATTTGAGAACTCTTTCTGCATTTCTGTTCTTCCAATATTTATATTATTCCAACTTTGCAGCATTTTACTTTTGGGTGAACCACCACGGCAGTGGAAATGAGTAAATAACTGAAGACAAAAAAATATACAACTGTAAAAAATTTATTTTAGCTGGAATTAATTTTTGCTGAAA